GCGAGTGGATGTGCGCGAGCGCGGGCGCGGGCGTATGCGCGCGGATGTGCCTGGATGTGCATGCGTGCCTCGACCTGGACGCTGCAGGCTCTTTCTCCTCGGACCCCGCAGCCTGCCCCATCCTGGGGCGCTGCTGCAAGCTCTTTCCAGCCCAGCTCTTCATCTTCATGCTTTGTGTTCAGGTCATCAGCTCAGCTCGTGTGTCTTCTTGTCCCAGCCGAGCCCCTGCGAGCCACGCTGGCCGTAAGGCCTGGCAGGGCACCGGCGTGATGCGAGGCTGGCCCTGGCCTCCCCTTGGCCTGGGCTCTGGCCATCTGCTCCTCCTCTCAGATTCCCCTTCTTGGAGAGGGACTGATGGGGGGAATCTCCAAGTGAGGCCTGAGATGGGGTTTTGTTTTTGTCAATGGGGAGGATTTCACACTGTGAGTTGGAAACGTGGAGATGAAGCTCCCTCATGAGTTTTTCTTCTCTGGGGAGGACTTCACGATGGTGAGTTGGAAATGTGGAGACGAACCCTCTCATGCGCAGGTGCTACTTGCAGTTCACATGCTCTGGGGCTGGGATGTGGGGATGTGTGCCTCTGTAACCCGGGCTTGTGTGCTGCGTTGGCATGCTCACCCCCGAACTGGTCCACCTGTGCCTCCTGGGGGGCAGGGCTCAGAAAGACCCTGGTGGCAGAGGCCAGCAGGGACTCACAATTTCGGTCTCCCAGGCCACGGGCAAGCGGGCATGAGTAGAGTGCAGTATCCCACCCTCCGTGCTTTGGCGACTCGTCGGCATTGAAGGGAGACAGCAGGCAGTGGAGATGGGGCGCCTCCTCTTAGAGGGCAGCTTTAGATGAAAGCCCAGACCTTGGGACCCCACCCTCTGGCGTCTAAAGTACAAGTGGCCAGGAGCCGAGTTCCTGAGCCAGTGCGGCTCATCTCTCCCATGTGGCCTCTGGGCCCTGCCTGGTGGCTCCACATCCTGCCAGTGGCCCTGAGACTGAGGTTGGGGGAGCCCCCAGGCCTTGCACCACAGGCCAGGCTCCCTGGGAGTTCCCCAACCGTCACAGCTACCTCCTCCTGGTGGCTGTAGGGTTCAGTGGGGTCCTGGGCTGAGGGCTGTGGCCTGGGCCTGGGACGCTGTCCTGGTTGGGGGCTGGGTGAGGGCCTCACACCTTCGCCCCCTGAACCTCCTGCCCTGGGGCCTCCATGGGAGTGGCTGAGGCGCCCTAGGGTGCCCTGTGTGTATCTGACAGTTTCTTTTCTCTCCTCCCAGGGACTGCCTGCAGCAGCCTGGTGGGGCAACCCCAGTGTGCGTGTACACGAGGGATGAGGTAGGCTACCCAGTCCCCGCTCAGGCTGAGCCCACTTCCCAGCTGGAAAACCCACTCTCCCACCGCTGTCTCCAGGGCAGTGGCGGGAGACTGGGGCTCTTGAAAGCACGACGTGTTTCATGGAAAAAGAGGGAGTGGCCGCCTGGGAGCCCCGGCCGCCCCGAAACCTCCCTCGCGCCCTGTTTGTTTTCTCAGCGTCTCTCAAAGCCCAAGAGTCACAAAAGTGGTTTCATTTAATAAATATTTGCTTTGCTCGGTGTTTTGATCATTTTCAAAACCGAACGTGGCGTGGCGCAAGCAAGGCCTGCCACGGCGGGGCCCTCCTCGAGCTCACCCCCGGCTTACAGGGGCCTTTTGTTTCCACTCTGGCCGAGCGCCCTTTGCTGGGGTTGGTGGGGCACTGTCCCAGAGGGGCCCTGGGGGACCCTGGCGTGGACAGGACACTCCCCCCATTTATCCCCAGTGAAGTTCCCTGGTCAGAGCTGTAAGGGGAGGGCTGTGTCCTCCCTCAGAGGGGATGAGCCACGGGGCTTAGGCACTCCTGGCCCAGCACCGGCCTGAGGCTCCAGCCCCTGGGGACCCTTGCACCCTTCGGCTTCTGTGCTAGGGGCAGCTTCTCCACCCCCTCGTCACAGGGTCAGAGCTAGCGTGTGGGTCCCGGCCAGCCAGGCCCAAGCCTTGCCCACCCCGAGTCCAGCACTGGGAATGCCCTGAGAGCAGGAGACTTGAAGGAGGTTGGGGCAGGGTGCTGAGGCAGCCAGGCCGCTGTGACCTATGGGAGAGGTGGCGGTGGGGCAGGTGTCGCCCCGGCCAGGCACCAGAGCCCGTGAAGCCGGGTATTGTGATTTTGGGGCCCACCCAGCTCAGAGGCTTTTGAGGGGTGGGTGCTGCTGGCCTGCCCCCTGCCCACCAGATGTTAGGAGCTCCCAGCAGTGACTGGGGCTGCGGAGGTTTGGCAGGCGTCACGGAGCTGGGATGACCCCAGCCCAGGGGCCTGGCCGGCTCAGTGTCACAGACGTAGATTCTCTTGCCCAGGCCTCCTCCCCGCCCGTGTGGATGATGGCACGTTCTTGCCTCTCCCCCCACCGGCCCTGGGCTCTGGGCAGTGGGTCCTGGCTGCCGGGCATCCTCCTTGCAGCCCAGCTCTGCCAGCCCAGGCCTCAGTGAGCTTGGGTCCCAGCTGGGGAGACCAGGCTCAGGGAGACACGGTCCAGGCCTGGGCGGCAAGTCCTTTCCGGGCTACAGGCCAAACTCAAGCTGCTCCTCTCAGAGGGTATGGACTGGCAGGAGCCAGATGTGGGGGATGGGTAGGATGGGGGATGGGTAGGATGGGGGCTGGAGGGGCCGTGAGGCCTGTGGTTCTGGTGATGCCGGTGCCTGGAGCTACAGCCGAAGGGCTTCCCTGGGCTCCAGGGTCCCTGTACAAGGCCCACCTGTCCTGTTGCTCCTCCCGCAGGTGACGGGTGAAGCCGCCCTGAGGGACACCACACTGCAGTCGCTGGGCCTCACTGGGGGCAGTGCCTCCATCAGGTAAGGGCAGTGTGCCGCTGGGGCCGGGAGTCTATTTAGCTAAGAAAAGGGATCTCAAAGAAAAGGAGAAAGGAAACTTGGAAAGTGGGGGAGACTGTGTGCTCAGGGCCCTCACCATGGATGGGCGCCTGGTGGCCTGTGTCTGCTTGTGAGCCTGGGGGCTAGCACCTGGTGACCTCTGCCCTGCGCTGCTGAGGGGGCTGGGCTGTCTGGTCTCACTCTACTTCCCCCAGAGTGTCGGTGGATCTTGGGGAGGGCACATAGGGCAGGAGAGGGTGAGCTGGGGGCCGGCAGGACCACCATGAGACGCTTCCCTGGTCCTCCGGCCCCACTCAGGTTTGTCATGAAGCGCTGTGACCCCGGGGGCAAGACCCCAGGAAACCTGGACTCATCAGCGTCGGCTGGCCAGGCAGCCGCCAGCCCCCCACTCCCCTTGGAATCTGGGGAGCTCTGCCGAGGTGACCCGAGCCGTCAGGAGGACGTGGACGCCATGGGGTCCAGCTGCGAGGATTCGCAGGAGAAGCAGAGCATGAGGGCGCCCGTGCCTGCCCCCTTCGTTCCATTCTCGGGCGGGGGACAGCGACTGGGGGGCCCCTCTGGGCCCATGAGGCCTCTGATTTCATCATCAGCCAAGTTGCCGAAGTCCCTCTCCAGCCCCGGAGGCCCCTCCAAGCCAAAGAAGTCCAAGCCTGGCCAGGATCCCCAGCAGGAGCCAGAGCCAGAGCCGGTAAAAGGGGCCCCGGGCCTTGGGACTTGGGGGTGTCCTTTCTGCTGAGGAGGTGGCACCATGTGGCCTTGGCTGGTCAGCCTGGTGGCATGGCAGTGATGCAGGGCAAAGGAACCCAAAACTGGGACTCCGGCCAGGATGGTTCTGGTTTCGCCCAGGAAGGAAATCGGGTAAGTGGGTGGTGGAGTAGCTTTACTGAGCCGGTGGCCGGGCCTGCTCCGGGATGAGGCCATGTTCGCTGTATGATGAGGCGGCAACCGTGTGGGCTCCCCAATTTGGCACAGAGCAGGGCTGCCTGGGGCAGTGCATGGAGGGCAGCAGCTCAGGGCAGGGGTGTGGCCACATTTACATCCATTCTTAACTACATGCACCTTAAGGGGTGGGCGTTCAGGAATCTCTAGAATAGAGGAGGTAAATTCCAGGTTGTGGCCAGGGAAAGGGTAAGCGGTAGTGGTGCTGTTGGACCATTAGCCAGTCTTCAGTCTGGTCCGGGACCAGGTCCCATCTCCTACCTGAACAGGGTTGCTGGGTTGCTTCTCAGAGAAGTTTTTTTTTATTATTATTATTATTTTTTCTGATTTTCAACCATCTTTACCAAGGCACCCACTTTGTTATTTTTGAGACAGAGTTTCACTCTTGTTACCCAAGCTGGAGTGCAGTGGAGCAGTCTTGGCTCACTGCAACCTCCACCTCCAGGGTTCAAGCGATTTTCCTGCCTCAGCCTCCTGAGTATCTGGGATTGCAGGTGTGTGCCACCACGCCTGGCTAATTTTTGTATTTTTAGCAGAGATAGGGCTCTACCCTGTTGGTCAGGCGAGTCTGGAACTCGTGCCTTCACGTGATCCACCCGCCTTGGCCTTTCAAAGTGCTGGGATTACAGGCGTGAGCCATTGCACCTGGCCTGAAAGTTACCTGCTGTGATACCGGGTGTAGTATCATGCTGCCTGTTACATTTTTTTTTTTTTATTTTTTTTTTTTTTTTTGAGACGGAGTTTCACTCTTGTTACCCAGGCTGGAGTGCAATGGCGCGATCTCGGCTCACCGCAACCTCCGCCTCCTGGGTTCAGGCAATTCTCCTGCCTCAGCCTCCTGAGTACCTGGGATTACAGGCACGCCCCACCATGCCCAGCTAATGTTTTGTATTTTTAGTAGAGACGGGGTTTCACCATGTTGACCAGGATGGTCTCGATCTCTTGACCTCGTGATCCACCCGCCTCGGCCTCCCACAGTGCTGGGATTACAGGCGTGAGCCACCGCGCCCGGCCGCCTGTTACATTTTTGACTGGCTGACTCCTTGTTAGTTCTAGCGGTGTCTGGGTTTCTGTCGGGGTCTCTGCAAATCCCTTTTCCTTTGTCCTGTCGGCGGTTTTCTTCCTGTGTTGCAGTGACCTGGCCTCTGGTGCTTGCTGGATAGTGGCAATTCAGTGATCATTCTTTCTCGTGTCTTTTTTTTTTTTTTTTTTAAGACAGAGTCTTATTCTATCACCAGGCTGGAGTGCAGTGGTGCAATCTCGGCTCACTGCAACCTCCATCTCCCAGGTTCAAGCGATTCTCCTGCCTCAGCCTCCCAAGTAGCTGGGATTATAGGCATGTGCTATCATGCCCAGCTGATTTTTTTGTATTTTAGTAGAGACAGGGTTTCACCACGTTGGCCAGGATGGTCTCGATCTCCTGACATCGTGATCTGCCTGCCTGAGCCTCCCAAAGTGCTGGGATTATAGGCAAGAGCCAGCACACCAGGCACCCTTTATTTTCTTGATCTTAAGATGTATTACTGATAGTTTCTCTGTGAAGGATGATGTGTGATAAAAGCCTTTATCACGGTGAGAAAGTTACTGTTCCTAATTTTCTGACGTTTAAAAAAATCTGAGCAGGTGTTGAACTGTTTCCATGTTTCCGGCATCATATGCTTTATTTATTGGCTTGTGCGTCTGTGTTCATAAGTGAGGCCGACTTTTTTCACTGCTCTGTCTTCATTCTGCTTGGGAATCAGATTTCACCTAGCTCACAAGGGAGCTAGGCAGTGGCTGCTGTTTTCTGGGTTCTGGAAGTTCTCCGAAGGTATGGCCACTGCTCACTGCAGACTCCACCCACCACTGGGGCGCTAGGCCCTTGGTGGGGAGTGACTGCGAGCAGGAGAGAGGTGCTGACCTGTGAGCATGCCTGTGTGGGGTTGTGGCTTGACCCTGTGCCTCACGCCTTGGGGTGACCACAGGTCCGTGGGCTTCCTGGCCCGTGGCTGACTTTCCTTCTGTCCCAGTCCTGACCTGCATGGGAGTCCTGCATCTGGGCAGACTTTCCCTCCATCCCCGTCCTGACCAGCATCGGAACCCTGCGCCTGGAATGACTTCCCCTCCATCTCCGTCCTGGTCCCGCATGGGACCCCCCTGCGCCTGGGCTGACTTTCCCTCTGTACCCATCCTGGCCCCACATTGGAGCCCTGCACCTGGGCAGATTTTCCCTCTGTACCCATCCTGGCCCCACATCGGAGCCCTGCACCTGGGCAGATTTTCCCTCCATCCCCATCCTGGCCCCGCATGGGACCCCTGCACCTGGGCTGCTTGAGCTTCCTCAGCTTCCTCACCTGTTTCCCAGCCCCTGTGTCCCCTGAGGGCCAGGCTGCTGGCATCAGCCTCCCAAAGTGCTGGGATTATAGGCGTGAGCCACTGTACTCGGCCTGTTTTTATTTTTTGAGACGGAGTCTCACTCTGTTGCCCAGGCTGGAGTACAGTGACATGACCTCGGCTCACTGACATCTCCACCTCCCGGGTTCAAGCGATTCTCCTGCTTCACCCTCCTAATCAAGTAGCTGGGATTACAGGTATCCACCACCATGCCCGGCTAATTTTTGTATTTTTAGTAGGGCTGGACCAGAGCTGCCTGAGCTCCTGCTGACGTAGTCAGCCTGAAAGGCCCCCATGCCACCATCTCCTGCAGACATTTAGAATATTTGTGTCTGGGCCAGATGTGGTGGCTCACACCTGCAATCCCAGCACTTTGGGAGGCCGAGGTGGGCAGATCACCCGAGGTCAGGAGTTTGAGACCAGCCTGGTGAAATCCTGTCTCTACTAAAATACAAAAGTTAGCTGGGAATGATGGTGGGCGCCTGTAGTGCCATCTACTTGGGAGGCTGAGGCAGGAGAATCAGTTGAACCCGGGAGGTGGAGGTTGCAGAGAGCCAAGATTGCACCATTGCACTCCAGCCTGGGCGACAGAGTAAAACTCCATCTCAAAAAAAAACAAATAACTAGAGGTGGCCAGGAGTGCTCTGTGTACACAGCTCCGGCCTTGGCTGTGCCCTGGGCATTCACGCACCGTGTCCCTGCCCTCAGGTGAGGTCGGGAGTTCGCTTTGTCCTCTGGCCGCTTCTCAGTGAAACACCCTCACCCCTCCCTCTTGTCTCCAGCCACACCTGGGAGGGCAGAGGCTGGCTGTCTGCACCATGTGGGGCGTGAGGGCTCCCATCCAGCCTGGCGTCAGGGTCCAGCCCCTCTGTTTTGTGTACCCCGGGCTATCCTGGGACTGTCCCCACTTTTGAGTCGACAAAGGAGTGGGGAGTGAGGGCGTTGGGTCCGTTCTGGCACTGTGTTGGTGGTGGCACCCCATCCTCCCTCTGGGAACTCACTGTGACATCTGAGCCAGAGTCGGAGGCTGGAGACAGGTCCGTGTGCTCTGGGTGAGCAGCGGTGATGCCTCCTGGGCCTGCCTTTGTGGGGACCCCTGGGTGTGAGGGAAACGGTGGTGGTCACATTCCTCCATTCTAGAGGCATGGGCTTCAGCCCCTTCTTCCCTCCGTGCCCAGGGCGGGGCCTGTTTGCGGAGCATGGGGCTCAAAGCCCAGAGCAGAGCCCACCCGTTGCTGCCCCTGGGAAGGCACTGGTGGGAAGGAGGGATGGGGAGGGGGTGTGTGCCTCACCTGCAGGGTGTCCTGAGGGCCTTTGATCTGGGGCTCGGGCTGCTGATGGATGGAGGGCGTCCTGCCCGCCCAGCGCCTCACGTCGCTGCCAGCCGCACATGCAGAGGGCCCAAGGCCGCATGCCGCTCGCCGCTGGGTCCCTCAGTGCTGGGGGGAGGGGAGGAGGGAACAAAACAGAACCTTTTGGGGGAACTTCAAAGGTACACTTTAGTAAGCAAAGAAAGTTTCCAAGTTTCCCATTAATGTTTTGCCTGCGTGTGGTTTTTGGATTTAAATAAAGAGTTAGAAGAAAGAGACAGGATAAAATACAGGCAGGTCCTCGGCCGAGGCCCGGGGTGGTTCACAGACCCGGGCGGTTCCTGCCTTTGATGTCAGGCATTAATTATTAGAAGGTAGTTTTACTGGCGATCAGAACCGGGCTCTGGGAGAGGCTGGGGCTGCCCGGCGCCCCCTGGCCGTGTCTTTGAAGTTGCTCCGCCGGCCGGGAGGCCGCCCTGCAGTCCTGTGCCGTGCTGGGACGCCAGTCCCAGCAGACGCCCCCCCACAACCCGGCCTCCTGGCAGCTGGCACGAGGGCCGCCCCTGATCAAAGACCGGGTCTGCCCGCGAGGGCTGGCAGCTGCCGCCCCGCCTGCCCCTCCCGCCTTGGGGGTGAACCCTGCTTCTGGAGCCGGGGCCAGGGTTTCCTCAGCACGCCTGCTCACCCCCTGCCCTCTGTGGCAGACGGCCAGTGTGGGGCTTGTGGGGTGGGGAGGAGCTGTCCCAGGGTGCTGGGGGCAAGCCGGCAGAGGAGGCTGGGCTTGGAGCGGGCCATGCACTGGGTGTAGTGAGAACACCCTGCCTGGGACCCCTGAGTGCCTGGCAGGGCAGGGGCTGCTGTCTCTGGGCAGCAGGCATCCTCAGAGGGGCCAGGGGATCCTGCCTGTGCCGTCCCTGAGGCTGGCCCAGTGACCGGGGTGTCCTGGGTCTCTGCTATGCCTCATGGGTGTCTGTGGACAACTCTGTGCTCTGAGCAGGGCCCAGGCTGTCCCTAGAGGCACGGCCCGTGGCCTGGATTGGAATGGCCACCAAACATGGCTGGCAGA